TCCCTACACGACGCTCTTCCGATCTCCCCAAAACCCCAAAACCCCGGCTTTCTAGAATTAATAGAAAAGGTGTCATTAGGAATTTAAATTGAAGATATTTTTGGCATGAACTTTTATAATATATAATAAATAAAAAGAAATGAACAAGAATCTAATCTTAACTGTCTCAGTTATTGCTTCGCTTGCTAACGCTAATGTAACTTAAGATCATTGATTTTAACTAAGAATATAGGTGGTTACAAGCACCCTTAAGAAGGCATTTGATGTACCATTACAATATTCAATAAAATTACTTATAGGCTCATGTGAAAGCTAACCAAATCGGAGATCATGATGATGGCTTTCAGAATAGTCATATGACTTAAGCGATTCAAACTCTTGCTGCTGAAACACTTGGAGGTGAATACCAAAGAATATATGATTTTACCAGTGGATTCCTCTTTGGAAGCTCATACTCTGAAAATAAAGAGTGTGTTAAAAATCTCAATTCGATCACTTACTATGGTCTCTTCGTCCTACAAGGAACTCAGAACTTCAAATTTTAAAATGCTGTTAGTATTAATCTCAATGTCAACAAATTTACTGAGGCTACTGGCATATTTACCAGGTAATATAAATTGAATAACAAAAATACAGCGTCTGCGATATCAACCACATGACTAAAATTTTTTCTGAACTATCAACCTTCGAAGCTACTCCATGGGTCAGAATGGGAAGCAGAGCTTTTGGTGTTGCTGTAGGAAGTATTTGGGCTGCTTAGAAAGACATCAACTAAGGTATTAAGGATGGTAATTGGTACAAGGTTGGTAAAACCTCAGGAAAGCTCTTTAAAGAATTGTTCGATTCAGCTCTTTGAAAACAAACCAAAGCACATTTATACAATAAGTGCTATAATTTCTTCATAATAAAAAAGAACTAAAATATGTAATATAAAATTTAGTATACTTATGCCAAATCCAATCACATATCACGGGGTTTTGGGGTTTTGGGGAGATCGGAAGAG